ATAATACCCTCTAGGTCAGTGATGGCGAACCTTTTGAGCTCGGCGTGTCAGCATTTTGCAAAACCCTAACTTAACTCTGGTGCCGTGTCACATATAGAAATTTTTTGATATTTGCAACCATAGTAAAACAAAGACTTATATTTTTGATATTTATTTTATATATTTAAATGCCATTTAACAAAGAAAAATCTCAACCAAAAATGAGTTCTCGTGTCACCTCTGACACGCGTGTCATAGGTTTGCCATCACTGCCCTAACCGCCTCTCTAACCCTTACACCAGGGCCTGTGCTGGACCCTGGATCGGCTCTGGGTTTGAAGCCGGAGGACAGGGTGTGGAGTGCTGAGGACCCTCTCGGCTTCCGTGTCATCCATCAAGCCCGTGAAATAACTGACCTCTACCTCAGGACGAGGCCCCGATGAAATCACGTGCGTGTGTCCAGCCCGGGACACGGTGCCTCGCCTCTCTAACCCTTACACCAGGGCCTGTGCTGGACCCTGGATCGGCTCTGGGTTTGAAGCCGGAGGACAGGGTGTGGAGTGCTGAGGACCCTCTCGGCTTCCGTGTCATCCATCAAGCCCGTGAAATAACTGACCTCTACCTCAGGACGAGGCCCCGATGAAATCACGTGCGTGTGTCCAGCCCGGGACACGGTGCCTTAAATATGAGCTTCTTCCCCGCCCCCTCCCATGTGGGAAGCGCTTTGTGAGCCAGAGAGCCCTGGGGCCAGAGCTTCCTGGTGAAAACGGGTCTGTTTTGGAGTGAGACCCAGGTGGGAGTCTCTCTGGAAGTTGCAAACATCCCAAAGTTACTCGGCCTCCCCTGAGCCGTGGGGAGTCCTCCCCCGGAGACCGAGGGTGATCATTTCTGTTCCATTCAAAGGATCAAAAGAGAGCAACGTACTTGGCACAGCCCGATCCAAATCAAACATGGACGTGCCCACGGGTGTTGCCAGACTGGTCTTCCCTGACCCGACGCCGGGGGTGAGCCCTGGACCTTTGAGGCTCAGACACTGTCTGGGGAGCCTGCGCTACATAGAACCCGGGAAGAGAGGCCTGTCTGAAGGAGGCCCAGGCCAGGGGACCTCTGGGTTTGGGAAAATGGGAATAAGGGCCATGCCCTGCCCTGTTTTCTCCCGCTGTCCCCTCTCCCTGCACTTGGACCCTGACCCCTGGCCTTGGGGCACCATCGGAAAGATGTTTAAAGAGAGACGGGGAGGCACGCAGGAAGTGACCAGGCACAACAGGGCACACACAGCAAGGCCACGCAGTTTGGCCAGACTTGAAAGCAAGATGAAGCTGAGGATCTAAGGCTGAGAGAGCTCACCCCCACCCCAGCCCACTGCACCCTCTGCACCCCCATCTGAAGGCAGAGCAGCCTCCTGGGGCGTGATGCCCACCTGCCCCCTGCCCTGGTCTCTAACACCCCTGAGGGGAACCTGGGGGTGGGCAGGAACCCCTGCTCGAGTGCCAGGACAGAGATGGACAGAGCGCTGGACAGCCTTACAGTCCTCTGAGTGCCAACTCCCAGCCAGACTTCAAGGCTGAACTTTGGGCCCACCCTAAACCCTCCCTCGTTCCCATCAGCTCCCCCCACAGGCTGGTTCCCGGTCAAAGCTAGTGGCTTGGGGCACCGGCTCCCCACGCGCTGCTGGGGGAGGAATGGAGGAGCAAAGGAAGAGAACTTACTTGTTGCGGTGGCTGCTTCCAAGTGGCACTGATGCTAACTTCTGGGGTGTCCCTTAGAGGCGGGGCAGGGGCGGGCGGGGCCCTGGAGGGGGCTCTGCAGCCCCAGCCATCACCACAGCCTGGGTCGCTGCCTGAGCCTCTCCCTGCCGGGTCCTGCTGGCAGAAGCTTGCAAGCCATCCTGTCCCTTCCCCGCCAGCCCCTCGGTCACTCCCTCCTCCGGCAGGGACTGGAGGCTCCTCTCTCTTTCTCTCTCTCTCTCCCCCCTCCCTTTCTCCCTCCCTCCTCTCCACTCTCTCTCCCCTGTTCTCCTCCCCTTCTGCCTCCTGTGTGAACGGACTTCTGAGTAATAACCGATTTAAAGGGCCACACGCACCGCAGCGGGGTGGGGGTGGAGGATGGGGACCAGGTTCCCACGTGACCAGAGGATACCGTCAGTTCTGAATGACTCGGAACCGGCCAGGTGGAGGGAGAACCCAACCCGAGGGGCGGGCGGGTCTTCGCTCCCTCCCCTGGCTCGCGCCACGTCCCGCTGCACGCACGGGGGTACTGGGTGTGCCCCTGCTCCTGCAGACGCCCAGGGCAGAGGTTCCCTGCGCCATGTGTGCATGTGTGTGCGCGAGTGCGTGCATGAGTGTGAGCGCGAGTGCGTGCATGAGTGTGAGCGTCCGCGTGTGCATGTGTGCGCACGAGTGTGTGCATGAGCCATGAGCGTAAGCGCTCGCGGTTGCCGGTGTGAGCGCGCGGTTACGGTGCGGTGCGGTGCGGTGCGGTGGAGCCGACCGAGGGAGGGAAGGACTAGGAGAGCAGGGATGGTGGATCGGAGCCTGGGAGGGGCTGCTCAGTGCTCCGCAGGGCCTAGAGAGAAAGACTGGAACGTGTAGTTGCGTTTCTTTAGCTGGAACCGAGCAGCAGGGAGAATTGCCTCGGGGAAGTCGGGGGAGCCACAGCCTGAAGCCCTGGACGCTCTCGCTCTTGCGGGTGGAGGGAGGGTCTGGAGCGCCCCGACCGCTGGCTGGAGGGGAAGCCGGTCCAGAGACAGGAAACAGGTGTGCTGGTGCCTGCGGGGGGGGGGGCCTCTCTGTCCCCCCCCCCCCCTCCCTGGCCGCTCTCTCCAGCGACAAGTGGCCCGAGGCTGGGCTGGAATAGCGGGAAGTGCTCCCTCGCTCACAGCTCCGCACGGCGCAGAGGGAGAGTCCTAGCTGAATGCTCAGCGGGCTGGGCAGGGCCACTCCCTCCCTCCGGATTCCTGCCGAGGCCAGGAAAGAGGAAGACAAGCATTTTTTCATGAATTCGGGCTGCTTGGCGGCTGCAGATGCCACAGCCCTGCAAAGGGACAGGCTTCTCTGAGGACCGGTGCACTCGGGTGGCCCTTCCTAGCTGATGGTGTTCCCTAGGGCCCTGCGCTGTCTGTTGCCAACTTTCTGGGTTCAATGCCCCTGAGTGTGTCTCCCCTGGGGTGGGGGGGTGGGGAGGGGGGGCAGGCACAGCTGATGCAGCCTGTGAGACCAGTGTCCCCCAGATCGAAGGCTCCACCAGGCAGGGGCTATGCCTGTTTCTTTCCCTGCTGTTCCCTGCACCAGGTACAGGTGCTCCATGAATATTTATCAAGTGAACACTGTCAACAACAAGAAAAGGCGGATGAAGTTCCAAGGGGACAGACGCTGGTCGCTGGGACGGGTGCACCTAGCCTGTAAGCACAGCAGCCTACAGCTACAGGGAGGCTAGTCTCACGGTGCCACCACAGGGCCCCTCTTGCCGTCCCCACAGACCAGAGTGGATGAAAAAGGGGGCCCCATACTAAACCTGAGGAGCTCTGGAGGCCTGCACCCTCAGAGACGGAAAGCAACCACACAGGATGGTCCGAACATAAAGAGTCCCAACTAGAAGCAGATCATGGTGGGTAGTCCAGTCCTGGACCTGAGCTTCCTTGACAAGGCTCAATCTTTAAGGGAAGGGAGCGGTGATTGTCCTGTGCATCTAAGGTACAGACCTCCGAATCTCAGAAAAATCCCCTTTTCCAGACCCCCCCTCCCGACCCCCCATCCCGGGCACAACCACTGGCACCTGAACAGAGACCACAGAGCCCTCATTGTTCTCTTGTTTCCCAAATGCCATCTCCACCTGCTGTCAATGTTAACCATTAACTGCCCCACACCCATGTGTATAAAAGAAGGATGGGGTTTCCATCTGCCTTTTTATCTGATTCCCTGCTTTGCTTTCTCCCGCCCCCTTCATCTACCACCCACGGATACCATGTAACCCCCTACATCCCCTCCTTTTATTCTAACGTATAAAAGAAGCTGTAAAACTGTCATTCTCCGGAGCATATTTCCAATCCGTTGAGATTTTTGTTTCCCAGCAAATGTTGTCAGTTTCGCTCAAATAAGCTCATAAAAATTCACTATGCGTTTAGAGACTCCTTAGGTCGGTAGCAGCGTGCACACAGCCCCCTGCCCAGGCACCCTCCCCGGGTCAAGGGCGAGGCCCTGTCAGGGTTTGCCTCCTCGACCCCGCTCCCTCTCTCTGTAGAGGGCTGGATGGATTACTCAGTGTGGCTGCCATGGGTTCTGGCTAGCCAGGATGTCTATTAGTCCCCTCAGGGGATGTAGCCTGTTTTCCTGCTCGTCTGTTACATGTTGATCTGCTGCTTTAACACTCTGAGAAGGTTCTTCGTTTCTTAATTTCCCAGTTCTCGGGAGAGGCTGTGGCTGTGCAGCCACACATTTTTGAGCCTATGAGGTACTCTTCCTTGGGGCGACAGTGACTTTGGATTTAGCATAAAGATCTTAGAATTTCTTCTGCCCTGATTTGGGGGGTGGGGGAGAGGAGCTGGCTTTGAAGCACAATGGAGGGTGGTCCGTAAATGTCATTCTCACAGTGATGGGACCTTGGACCGGGAGACGGGACGCCTGGGTCAAGTTCTTGGTCTAGACCTGAAAAATGAGAGCTATGGGGGTTTGAGTCCTGACTGGCTTTTGCAAATGTAGATGAGCCTAACTTTGTCATGCTCACGTTTCCCGAAGAGCACAGGTGACCTTTGAGGGTAGGGGACACGATGAAGAACTACTGGGGGTTGGAGGATGCTACTGGTCCTCCGTTGTCTGAGAATTGACGAGGCAGTGGGGAAGGCAACGGAGAATGTGTGGTTCTCAGGTCAACAACAGCACAGAGCCCTGCTCTGTCCACCATCTGCTTCTCCTACCTTCTTCCTTCATCGAGCAAGAAATGAGTTCCCAATTAAGTTTTCTCTGTACAAGGATACACAGGAAATTGTTTTTCTCCTATTTATAGAAATCCATTTGCATTTGTGAGGCTCGTAATGTCTCATACATCTTCCCAGCCAGATAGAAGATTAATTGAAAGGGTTTGCTGAGTTATACTCCAAAGTCCGAACGAAAACTCTTTTAAGACAAATGCTTTCAGTATTTTCTCGCCTGTCAGGAGAATCCCTCACCCAGTACTTGTGCGTGTTAATAAGTCCAGGTACAAACAGCAGATGTGAGTCAATTAATAAATATTCACTTGCAATATTTAAGGGTACGAAAAGGCGTGAGAAGAGCATAACCAATAATTGTGCGATTATCGCTCAGCTTAAAAAACACAGCACGACATTGCCAACACTGTTGACTCCGCCCCATCACCTCCTCTTCCCTCCAGAGAAAGTCAGTGAGTTACCCGAATTCAGTGTTTCTCTTTCTCATGATTTCTTTATGCTAAAAACCACACACACACACACACACACACACACAATCAGTGACTATTGACCATTTATAAGTATTTTTATATCCACAAACTCTTTTAATTGATTCAGGGAGGCTGCTATATTTGAGATGCTTTGATGGGTGATGTGGGAAAAACTAAAAAGTATAAGGTTGTGCTTTGATCTAAAATGCCTTGCATCCTAATTGGGAGGGTCATCCCAGGTGCAGGCAAACTTAGCCGACAAATTCACAACCTGGGATTTTAATTCGTAGGTGGTAATTGGATGGCCTGGTGATGGAGAACAGATAATAATGCCGGCAAAGCTGGGTGAGTGGGAGCTGGGGGCTGGCGCTGACTGCAGAGAGAAGGGGCATCTGGAGCGAGCCAGGACGTCGGGAGTAGGATTTGAGTATGAGGGTTGGTGTGTGAGAAAACGCCTGGAGAGGCCAAGAGGTCGGCGCTGGGAGCAAGGGCAGGTGAAGTGTAGGGAGGGGATGGTAAGTGGCTCTGATTAGCTGAGTGCCTACTACTGTGTGCTGAGCTCTGCAAAATGCTCCACAGAAGTATAAAAGCTTTTCGTCTTCCCAACAACTGGGTGAGGGTGGGAGTATTATCCCCATTTCTCAGACGAGAAAACTGAGGCTCACACAAGCAAAGAGTCCCCTCATTGGTGCAGTTCTTCCTAGTGAATTTCAGAACCCAGTTTTGTTAGGGGCCGGTTACATTTCTCACTGTTGTAGGCTGAACTGTGTGTCTCCACCCCCACCCCCAGCCAATCCTCAGATTCAGGTGTTCGAGCCTGTACACCTTGGGCCTGGGAATATGGCTGTATTTAGAGACAGGGCCTTCAAAGAGGTGATTACGTTAAAATAAGGCTATTATGATAGGCCCTACTCCAATTTGATTCATGTTTTTTTTCTTTTTAAGAAGAATAAACTGGACACACAGAGAGACACTGGGATGCGTGCACACAGAGGCAGGACCCTGTGGGGACACGGCGGGAGGTGGCCAAGGAGAGCAGTCTCAGGAGAAACGAAACCGGCTGACACCTCGATCTTGGCCTTCCAGCCAGTGTACCAGACTCGTTTATCAATATTTACATAGTAGTATTTATCTAATGAAGACGTGCCCAGCACAGCAGAGGGTGAGAAAGGTGTGCCCACAGTTCCTGCTGACGACACACCCAGAAGAGTCAAGTGAAACAGCCAAGAAAAAAGAAGGAAAACACCGGTCAGGTTACCCAGAGGTCATCAGTGTTGCGGGATGTGTTATACATGCATCTGCCTCTGCTTCCAGATAGATAAGCATCCCACCCATCAGGTGAGGATCCCTAAGCCACTTTTCTTTTTCTTAAACTTTTTTTTATTGATTTCAGAGAGGAAGGGAGAGGGAGAGAGAGACAGAGACAGAAACATCAATGATGAGAGAGAATCATTGATCGGCTGCCTCCTGCACACCCCACACTGGGGATCGAGCCCATAGCCCTGGCATGTGCCCTGACCAGGAATGGAACCATGACCTCCTGGTTCATAGGTTGACATTCAACCACTGAGCC